GAGAATTACGAACTTTGATTAAAGTGCAAATCTTCCCAAAACAACCAGAGCCAAATTTAGAATAGTGAATAGGTACCTTAGGAGAAACATCTTAGGAGACAAAGTGATTAAGGCATTATGTGATGACATTCAGTCATTTTCCTGTGCTTTACCAAACAGAATTGTACTCTCGCTCCTAAATGAATCTGAATCTATGGGTTGACCTTGGGAGAGGGTTTCAGAGAGAAATCCCGCCCCCCACCACACTGAGTTTTCTCAGTTGTCGGCGAGCAGACACAACATGGGGTGAAAAAAGCAACAGATTCTAGAAATCTTTGTGCCTGCAAGCAGTGTCCTTACTCTCCATAGAAGGTATGGGATGTGTTCAGTGGCCTTCTGCTTTGACAGCACTATCGTAAGACTAGATCAGAATGTTCCTGCTGTCTCCAACAGACCTCTGACTCCCCAGTTCAACAGGCCACATTCCACAAGCTCCCAAAATTGCTGTCCGAGGTTTAAGAATCCAGTGCTTGCTTACCAACAAGGTTTTTGACATTTGGGGAATGTTTTCAGATGGGAAACCTTCCAGAATCGCTGGCTAAATCATTCCTGGTGCATCACACACTTAACAGCTTCACTGAGGTATTATTGACATAGTATAAAACTCACCCGTTTTAAGTCTACGGTGATTTTTAGTTGTCACACACCTTTATGTGGATACAGTTCAAATTCCTAAGCAATCCATTTCATTCTTTGGGTAAAAAGTAGGAAGCGTGTAATGTAATAGGATGAGGCATTTGATGGGATTTAGCTCACTTTTTGTAAATCATCAGAAGGAAAGTGATGAATTTACACCCTCAGTAAATACCATAAATAAATCGTTATTAAATAATTTCATAGCCAGCCTCACCATAAGCCCTTGACACTGAATGGATTCATACCATCTGCTGCAGAATTCCCTGATATTCCAGGATAATCTCTGGAGTTTGGGATTATTCAGCAACAAGGAACACTTCTGCTTTATCACTTTCTTTTAGATGAGCGTCCTCAGGAAACTTCTGACCTGCAACACCTGAAGGTGAGTATCCCCCAAATCTGAAGGACCACAGGGCCTTTCTCCCTCCACTGATGTGAATTTGGTAAGAGTGGGAGAACATCAAAACTGGCCTGGTCCTCACTGCCTCTCTTTCCTGGTCTCTTTATCATAATGCCAGATGGAGCATCAGTAGCTTAATAATTAACAGCTGTGACAGCTGATACTACTTATATGTTCATAGTTACGCCATATATTCCTTAAGCATTTCATATGCAATAATTTATTTAATCCTTAAAGAAACCCCTATGAAGTTGTTACTCTTATACATAATGATGAGAATATTAAAAATGGTAATAGTGACTCAAAATAACAATGGTATGTTACAGAGTCGTTAATTAATTTGCCTGAGACCATGGTGGCAGTGATTGCAGCCTAATCCAAAACCCGAAACAATTTCCAAGCTTATGAATATTTCATATGTTTATGAAGTTCAGGTTTTCTCTCTAGTGCTTTACTGCAAAGATGCTCCTGTTGTTTTTCTTTAGACATTTATTATCACATTAGGAAGTACCAATTCCCTCTCCTCTGTCACAGAGCCATTTTTACATGGCTTGGGGATGGCTTACACCAGCGATCCCCATCCTTTTTGGCACCAGGCACCGGTGCTCCTATGAGAATCTAATGCCTGATGATCTGAGGCGGACCTGAGGCGGTGATCCTAGTGCTGGGTAGCGCCTGCAAATGCAGATGAAGCTTTTCTTGCTTGCCTGCTTCTCACTTCCTGCTATTTGGCCTGGTCCTTACCTGGCCACTGACCAATAATAGTCTGCAGCCCAGGGTTTGGGGACCCCTGGCTTAGAGTGCTTTCGTGTCTTGTCTGCACCTGAGGCATTTCTAAAGAGTCAGGTTCGCTCAGGGATCCTTAGAGGTGTCTGAATGTGTATTGAATAAGTGTTTCCACAATTGTAAATTAAACCAATTGAGAGGGGAAAGGGATCTGGGAGTTGGGTTGCCAGGGTGGAGACAGTTGTGGAATGAACTCAAAGAAGGGTCATAAGAGAAAGTATTCCTCTTTATTATTACCACATTGCAAGTGTTTACAAGCTCAGAGTGTTATGTTCACCTACTGTCTGTTTATTGTTCACTATTTCCTGAATGAAGGAGCTGAATGAAAGGCAACTGAAGTATGCTGGCCATATCACACCCTGACGCAAGCAGAATTGATGTGGGAACCACCTCCCTATTTCCACGTTAAATGATCTTTCCAAGGTAGGACAGTATGTCACAAGGGGCACTTCTTTCTTTAGTGTCTACATTGATTTCTGTGAACCATCCTTTCCTCTCCCTCCCCACATTCATCTTCCACACACCTTTTCTCAGCAATGTTTGTTCCTCTTCGTACACTTTTATAGCTTCTCTCCCAGCAGCTGTCTACTCACTTATATGCGATCACTTATATTTCGCAGAAGCCCCTTGTTACTTTCTGGACCTCACAGATTCTTAGAATGCTATTTTCCCCCACATCTTCCATATAAAACAGAACTGTTTACATGGAGGCTTCTGCTGTTTGTGAGAGTGTTGGTCTGGAAAGTTCTGGTCTTGCAAATACCTTTTTTTTAGGCCATTCCTTTTCCTTTTGACCTCCCAGTTTCCTCATAATTGAGGTACGGGTCCTGTGGTGATCTCCTGGAATTGTTGAGAATGTTGATTAAGGTACTGCACGTGAAGACACTGTGTAAACCCTAGTACTAGAGTACTAGGGCAATGACATTGATACTGTCTATATGCGACTTTTACATGAAAAGGAGATGCCCAAGAAGCCAGGAAGCAAAGAATATGATTTGAAAACACTTCCAGAAACACATGGCTCAGAGCCAGCTCAGAAACAGCTGTGTCCCCCAGGAAAAGCAAATGCCTCTAGTCAGCAGATGGAGAAGTCAGCAGGTAAATGGAAACCATTTAGGAACAACTCCTCTGGCCCTCCTAGAGTGGGGGATGGATCCTGGACATGACTGGATCCAGGCTGGACTTAGGGTGTTGCTCAGCTTCAGCTGAGCCATTAATACATGACTTCCAGAGTCACAGATTAAGTTGTCATTGATATAAAAGCCATGTACTCATAGGCAATTCCTCCAAATTCTCTGAGCTCCAGAGTCCTAGTCCATAAAGTAGAAATAAAGAATCATAGTTCATAAGTTGTTTGAAGGCGTTAAATGAAATGGAGAAGGTTAACGACATGAAAGGTGCTTAAATAATTCCATCCGTAATAACCCGAGAAAATACCGTACTCAGAATTGTATCCGCAGCCCTTAGCTCAATATCTGACACACAATATGGCCTTAAAAATACATGCTGAAAGAAAGAAGGTCTGAATAAATGTACTGGTAAGTTGAGTTTGAGAATCTAACCCTGACAGTGAGAAGCACCAGAAGCTAAAACCCTAAATGGCATTTGATATGTACTTGTGCAGGTCTAACATCTCAGCCTCTCTGAGCTGGCAGATGTGGAAGACAAACCATGTAGAAGGCTCATGGGCACTTGGCCTAAAAGAGGCAGCTCATCTGTTAAAAAGAACCCAACGCTCCACAACCCACCCATCCCCCATTGACCAAATCTTTGCCACTACAGGACCCAGACACTGAAGACTAATGTCTGGGCCTACAGGCTGAGGGAAAGAAAGAATATAGTCGTGTATGAAGAGATCAGTGACCTCGAGGAAGATGATTAACTCTGTAAGTGACACTTCATTCCAAGCCACATCCCTGCAAAACAAACTCTTTTGAAAGTACTAGTATCCCATTTTGTCAC